TGAGATAATATATAATATATTAAGATTGTGAGTCAACCCATGGACACTGGATGAGTCATTTGGCAAATATTTGCTCAATCTATAATGTTCTGGCAATGCACCAGATACAGGGGACACCTGGATGATAAGAGGAGACAGAATCACTGCCCTCTCCAATAGAAATGTTTTCCAGAGTTTATGCCACCACATCAATCACTAAGAAACAGATACAAAAGCTGAAGGAAAGTTATTGTTATATACAGGTGGGGCAAAATAGGTTGGCATTTGTGAGTTCCCGAAATAAAGAGTTTATTCTTGTATTATTATTGATTAAGTATTGTGTTATTTTCCATATGAACAACTGTAAACCTCCTTTTGCTCCACCCTGTGTAGTAGTGACGGTAAGTATGTAAGTTAATAAAGGAACAGAGCATCTGGCTCTAGAATCTCAAAAACAATTTTCTCTCTAAAGAGTGCACCAAGCTTCCCAGAGATTAATATACTAGTGATGATGAACTATCCTGGAATCAAAGACTAATTGATAAAATGCTGGGGTCTGCTCTTCATTTCTGATAAACCAGCACTATTAGGATTTATTGACTTGGACATAAACTTTCATGGTTTTAAGAGCTATCCCGTATTTTCCAGTGTATAAGACGACCCCCTAATTTTACAGTTAAAACATAGGTTTAGGCCTATATTCGCTGCATACGACTGCCCCCCACTTCAAAGAAAAGACTTACTTTGCCATCAAGATCTGCAGGTAATTTTTGCGCAATTTTGGTCTTTTGCCCCCGATTTTGGGTTGACTTTTTTTCGGTTCAAAAGTCGTCTTATACGCCGGAAAATACGGTACTGTAAGACTGCCAAGAGCCTCTACAAAGACCAATGGAAGTGAAATCTCACAGACATAGCACATTACCACGTGAAATATTATGAGTCCTGCACATGACCACTGAAACTGCACTCTAAAAAGGCCACGAGCCTCCCATAACCGACTGCACAGAGGGCAGCCTGGGAGAGGGGGTGGGAGCTCAGGAAAAGGCAAGACTTGGGGAATTTTGTATTATCGCCTCTTGCAACAATCACTGTCTTGCAAAATATATCAACTATAATATAGTTCACTAAACAATTAACTTAATATTAAATATCTAGCTTCAGATGTCACCAACCAACCCAGAGACTTCTTAGAGACAACTAGATAATCAGTCTGGAGAGCGGTTGAGATACCAAAGCTGGTGATAGAGGGTTTTGTGCATGAAGATGACCCTGAATATGTGGATTTATTTCAGAGGACAAGAGGAACACAGTGGAGGGTCCTCTGAGCCCTGCCTACTTCTCTCTGTGGCTATGCCAGCGCCCTAGGAGAGAGGGAGGAAAAAAAGAGAAACAGGAAAACACATTGCCCACGAGGTAAAGACTGAGTTAATCTTGAATTTAAAATCCTCAGGGTCATCCCCTTCTAATGAAAGCACAATTCAAACTCCTTTCTAAGACCTGAAGGCTTCACACAAGCTGTCTCCTACCTACCTCACTGACTGCATCTCAGCACCCCTCCCATTATTACACTCTTCTTCATCTAGTTCTTCAAACACTCCAAATTCATTCACGCGAATTCACTCCTCCGGCACTTTGCAGTTGCTGGTCCCTCTGCTAGAATGCTCTTCCTTCTGCTCTTCACTGGACTGGCTCCTTCTCACCATTCACATCTCAGCAAATACCACCTCCTCAGAGAAGCTTTCGGATTGCCCTAAAGTACCTATCCCACTCCCTTTCCAGTATATCCTGTGTTGTATTGTCTTCATAACACTCATTCTCTCTGAAAGGTGCTTTTTCATTTATTTGCATTTTGTTTAATGACTCTGTTTACCACATAAGCATAAGCTCTATAAGATAAGGGGCTTAAAAAAAAAAAAAAAAAAAAAAAAAAAAAAAAAGATCAGGGGCTTTGTTTTGTTCAACACTGCACAGCCTAACCCCACCACCAGCACCTAGAGCATCTGTTACATGGTGGATACTCAGTAAACTGGTTGAATCTCAAGTGCCACCTTATGGGTCACCATACAGAAAGTCACCCAGGATCCACGGGAAAGCCACTTTCTGCTCCCTTGGCAGGCCCACCTCCTGGCACAGTGACTGTGACCCGCAGCCATACCAGCTCCGCATCTGCTTCTGCAGCCCCTGGAAGGTGCCAGCGACCCCGCTTCCCTTGGGAGACTCTCCAGCTTCCTTCTCATCTTCTTATTGGGAGGCCTTATCCTTCTCATCTCCAACAGGTCTTCCCATTGTGGGAAAGCATTGCTTAAAGAACCCTTCAAAGACCACCGTTACATGCTACTGAATAAAATGATGCCATTTGCACACTAAGCCTGAGGTATAAGGGGGAAAAAGAGAGACGAGGTAAGAAACCTTTTCACTCAGGTTTCCAGTGTTTATGACAAGAAGATCACCTAAAGGTTGGCTGCTCTCCTTCCCTTCTTTCCCAGTGGTCCGGGAAGAGGAACAGCCCCTGGCCAGGTCCAGAAGGTTGTGGCAGTAAACAGTAGGCTGGCGATCCCCGCTGGATAACCAAAAGCTCTCCAAGAAAAAGATATACGAACAAGGGAAAGAGACTCAGATCCTACTTCTCCTTACTCCTTTTATCCTCATCCCCTCACTCCAGAATCTCATCCCTTCTTATCCTAGTAGCATGGCAGCCACGACACTACTGATTCCCACGATGAAGAATGGTGCCTCTGAAACCCTGGTATGAAACCAAAAGGACAGTTTCTATCAAAACCCTGTATGGTCTAATGCATCCTTTCCATTCCATACATCAAGCTTGCTCTAAATCAAATACATTTTTATTTTTAATCCATAAGAGTTTACTTGGAAACTGGGAGATGTGCTGTTATCCACTGAAGTTGGGGATAAACAGATGTTCTTATTATCTGCAAGGGTGAGGATATAGCCATAGGAAGATTTCTTCCAGGCAAGAAGAGTATAATAGGCACTATATATATGTTCAGAATGAAAAGAACTTTTGGAACACAAACCATTGGAGATGACACATACGCTTGAATTTGTCCTGACACAGACACCTAAGTGGCATGTCAAAACCGTGGAGAAGACAGAAGACACCTAGCTGATGAAAGTCCGAAGCGGTCAGAAGGGAAGGCAAAGTATGCAGACCACCAACTGAAGAAGCCCTGCCTAAGGTGTAATGAAGAAGTTTATGCTGACCAGCGGGTAGAGACGTTGAACGTGTAAGGCGAAGGAGAAAGAGTCGCACACAGAACGAAAGAACTTGCGAGTCACGTGGCCCATGGAGGCTCCTGGAATGGTACAGGGCACAGGTGAAGCAGACCTTCATGGGATCCATTCTAAGTCACTTAACCTGGAGTAGTCTTGGGTTTTTAACTATAAAATGGGACTAAACATGCCTATCTTACAGTGCCGTTGGGAAGATTGAATAAAATAGCTCCTGTGAACACACTGGGGGTCACAGTGGTGCCAGGGGGGTTTGGTGCGTTCTTCGCCTCCTGGTTAATCACAGCCTACAACCAGCGTTAAACAGATCTCTGGTCCCAGCCTTGGGTGGGATCGATTTCCGTGGAAGCCACGTGGTAATATGTATGGTTAGCAAGTGATGCTTATTAGAGAGAGATGGAAAGCCGCATGATTTCGTTTCTCTGCCACAATGTTCCACCTGCTGTGGATTACACATCTCCAACAAAAGAAAACAGCTGCCACCAAGTGCTGGAATGAGAAACCTTGAGAATTACAATATTCACAAACGACAGACTGATGTCTTTTAATGGTATGTCTCACTATGGCATTATTCTGCCAACACGTCCCTTTCTGAGCCTCAAAGGTTGTTTCTTGTTTGTTTTTATTGATTTGGGGTATAAGAAACAAATTGAATCTGAAACAGTCAAGATAGCATTTTCCCTTTGCTGAACCATTATAAGGCAACGGTGCAGTCTGCGGCTGAGACCGGAAGGTCACCTATCCAGGCCTGCGTCCATCAGGGACCTGGAGGTCAGCGTGGACCTGAGGCCTTGGAGCCCCAGAGCGCCGAGCTTCGGGCAGGCCCGCAGCCTCCCCACCCGGCTGGGCTGCCAACTCACAGCGCAGGGACCTTCCTCTCAAGCACCGGGCGACTTTTTTAGGAGCTGCGGAGTGGGTGGCTGCTGATAGTATTCTCATGCGCACTCCCACACCATCTTTAAATATTGCCTTTGAACAGCAAACAACATCCTCCCGCTCCCAGCCACTCTCTCTCCCCTTTCTACTGAAGATCATAAAAGAAGGAGCATTGGGTGGCTTGGTTTTTAGTTTCTGGAAATCCGTTTATATAACATATCGTTAAAGGCAAAATAACAGCACACAAGGAAGGGGGCTGAGATCTCTGCCTCAAAAAAAAAAAAAAAAAAAAATGCCAAGTTACTGCTCCCTGCCTGAACACTGCAGCTTTCTTACCGCCACCCTCTCCCCCAAACCGCCTCGGAGCTCGCTTTGTTAGGTCTAGTTCTATTGTGGCGGGAAGAAGGGGTTTGCGGGTTGTTGTTTTTTAAGGTCAAAAGACCAGATCCTTGCACTCTCCCCTGCTCCTATACAGACCTTACACAAAAGAACAATAGTGAGCGAGGAACCCGTCCCCTCTCAGGTGCCCAAGCTCCCCTGAAATTAGAAATTGGGTCCCGAGCAGAGTCCTCTCCGCTCTCTGCGCACCTCGCTTGCCAGCGGGCTCCTCGCCTCTCCCGCCTTCCCTGGCGGGCTCGGGGTTCCCAGCGCCCCGCCGGTGCCCCTCCTCCTCCCCCTAAACCCAGAATTGGTGGACGGTGGCGGGGGAGAGAGAACCCTTGCCACCCTCTAGGGTTTGGAGGAAATGCAGAGGAGCAGTCGGCTCAGCGTGGCCCCCACCCCCGACCCTCCGCTTCAGAGGCGGTAAAACCTGGGGATCTGGGCACCCCGACCAGCACCCCGACCCTCCCTCACCCCGCAATGCACACCCACCGCGAGCAGCCCGGGATAGTTACCCGCCGAGTCCCAGGCGCGAAGACCGCAACACCGCACGGGGCTCCGCGGCCCGGGTCCCGCCGCGCTCACTCGGCCGCCGCCGCTGGCTCCGCGCCGGCTGTGCCTCTCCCGCGGCGCCCGCAGCATCGGGCCGCGGACACCGGGGAAAGGCGGCGTGGGTGAGGGGCGGCGTGGGCACCACTGGATCCCCGGGACCGGGCCGGGGAGCAGGGAGGGCGCAGTGCCGCCCGCAGGCCGGGCACCCAGGCCGGTGCGCTGCCCTCCGCGCCCGGGTCCAGCTGCCCGGCGACTACGGGGAAGCTCCTCCCGCTCGGCGTTGGCGCCGGAGGGGCGGTGGCCTCGGCCGCCCCCAAGTTGGCAGAGGAAGGTGCCCCCCCGGTGGGAGAGGCCAAGGGGCTCCGGGTCCCGGGACGGCTAGGCATGCGCGCAGCCGAGCCCCTACCTTTCGGGCCGGGCGCCACCGCCGCGCGCCCTCGCAGGGCGTTCCGCACCGAAAATCACCGCGGGGAGGAGGCCGGGTGGGTGGCTTCAGGACAGGGGGAGAGGATCTAGTTCCACCGCCAAGAAGACACTCCCATGCCGCCCGGTGGTTTGTTTGGAAAACTGCCCGGTAGACGGAGAGGGGCAGCCGGGCCCCCGCCCCTTCCCCGCGCCGGCAGCGGCGGAGTAAACACACTGGCCGGGCGCTCGCCGAGGCTGCTGTGACCCCGGGCGGCCGGCCCCTGGCCCACAGGGACGGGTGTTGGGGAGCTGAGAATTCACGGACTCTGATCTTCAAGGGCAAACCTTAGTGCTTTTTTTTTTTTTTTTTTTTAATCTTTCGGAGATGTTATTTTAGGGAGAAGAACGACGAAGGTGGGTCGTGCATTTTCACAAGAAGCTCTCCCTTGAGAAAAACATATAATGTCCTCATCCTTGGATCGCTCTGAATATTTTTTTTAATTTCAGTGTGTGAGATAATTCATTGTCTAACAGCATTCAATTAATAACCCCAGCCTTTGGACGCTGAGCATCATAATCACATGTTATCGGATGACACTGTGGAGAAGAGGCTTGGGCTTGGGGGTGATTCAAAGCGGGCACCCTGTCACGAGCTGAAACCAAGTCGGTCTGTGTTTTAACAACGGTCCCAGGAGGCAGCACTTGGTATTGTCTTCGTTTTAGTTAAAAACAAAACAAATAAACAACCTCCCCCCCAAAAAAAAACAACAAAACTGGGAGCTTTCAGAAAGTCCCTCCTAGACCTTTTCCTTTCTAGAAGTTGCCTTTGAAGTAACACACAGATATTGTCATCTTAGAGGTGGCTCCGGAGACATCAGGGCAGTGAAAAACATTCAGGCGATTTGTCCTTCTGGGCCTGTGTTTCTTGAGGCTACTTTGCTCTTTTGGCTTCTCCTGAATTCCTCAGTATCCTCAGTGATCATCAGAGTAAATACCGCGGAGCAGGAGGAACTTCCCTGCAGCTCCGGAGGGGCTCCGCCAGGTCTCTTGGTCTCTAGGCCCAGCGGGGAGGGCAGCGCACAGGCTGGTGGCGCCAGGCTTTTGGCGGCACTGCGCCCTTCCCTGCTCCCAGGCCTGGGACTCAGCTATGTATTTGCATATGTAAATAACCATCCTGTTGATTTCCCCAGTACTGAATTATGAGTGCGTGAAAAAAGAATTCAGGTTTCCCAGGAAGCTTACTTGAAACTTTGTCAATAATAGTATCTCCATATTCTATTCGTCCTGTCCTGGCTTCACTGGTGTTAGCAGCCTCATCTCAGGGGCTGCATTTTCTCTCCTTCCAGGGGCTGGAAGCGTGGTGGGAGGGTGGGACTAGAGATCAGTAAGTCCTCAGCACATGACTGTGTAAAATATGTCTTTGATGGAAGCCATAATTAAGACAAATGAAAGAAAATAATTGCAGCATATTATTCAAGAGGGTTAATATCCAGAATATATAAAGGATTCCTATAGACCAGTTTTTTTAAAATGACTATTTAAAAATAAGACCCTAGTCTATAAAGTAGGCAATTCACAAAAGAAATAAAATAGTGCACAAATATGCACAAAGATTTTAGTGTCTTTTTATAACACTATTTAGGAAAATGTAAACAACAATGAGAAATCAGATTGACAAAACCTAACAAGATTAACGAGATTAATGAGTTTTGTCCAAGGTGTCAAGGAAGTGTAAAGTGGTACATCCTTTTTAGAGAACAACTTGGTGATGGCTATCAAATTTACAAGGTTCTTTTGGGTTTGAATTTCAGAACCTTAATTAAGTTTCCTTAACTTGCTTCCTTTGAAGACAGTTTGACTTCATGCCGAGAAGCAAGGTAGGAAAGAGGACAAGGAAGGGAAAAACAGGAAATATCTTAGCAATTCCCTGTACAAAACACACACACACTGATGGGGGTTCCTCGGGAGCTGGGAAGGGGTCAGTCTATAAAACTGCCCTGTCTTGGAGCAGCTTGCTCATTCCCTCATTCAGTCATGAGCAGTGTTAAAAGCCTGGACCCCAGTCCAAGCTCTCCTAATTTCTACTCCAGAACTGTGATGGACAATTCCATCAAAGCATTACAGATAACTTTATTCAGCCCATTTCTGTAAGTACCACATTAGCTAACATCTTAGTCTCCTTAGGTGGTTTGCAGAGAGCTATACTGTTGGGAGTATACTTCATGTGAGTGTTTTTAGAGGATAGATCTCTAAAAGTGAATTTCTGGGTAAAGCCTATGTGAATCTCCACTCCAACAATTTCCTAATTTATTTTTCATGTTCATAAATGCACACTTTTAAAGAACACTCTTTCCACCGTGCTCCTGAAGCAGAGTGCAAAGCGGAGTCACCACGGTGAGCTGTAAGCGGTACAAAAGCTTCTTTACATCTTCCAAACTCCAGTCTGCTACGAATGCTTGTATCCTTCACACCAGCAGCTTGCTTTTCTAGGACTCCACCCTGTAGAAATGATTACATATAAACACAAAGATAGACATAGGGATGGTCACAGCAGCATTGCTTATGTGGGGAGGAACAAACTGTCCTCTACCCTCAAGGTTCTTCCCGGCCTAATAACCAAATAGATATGAGAAAGACTAGCAAAAGAAAATAAACAAATTTAATACATACATCTGTATGGGAAGCCCATGTCCACGAGAGAGTCAAAGACCCCACATGCAGGAAAGGTTCAGAGATACAAAGGGCACGTCGGTATATAAGACATCCTGAGCGAGGGGTGGGGTGAGATGCCTTGGGAATTTGGAAAGCAGGCCTTGTCCTGGCTGCTATGGCTCAGCTGGTTGGGCGTTGTCCCACGCAGCACCACGAGGTCTCTGGTTCCATTCCTGGTCAGGGCACATGCCTGGGTTGTGGAGATCCCCAGTGAAGGAGGCAGCTGATTGATATTCCTCTCTTTCTCCTTTCCTCTCTTTCTAAAACCAGTAAAATCACATTAAAAAAAAATAAGAAGAGCAGAACTTTAGTACATAGAAGTTTACCCTGCCCTATAGCTAGGTTAAAAAAAAGTTATATCTGATAATCTCTTATGGCCTTTAGTTCAAATTCTTCTAGGGAGTAGGCCGTAGGGGTGTCGAACTCAATCAGAGAAGGGGCCAAAATCTAAAATCCAGCCTAAATCGCGGGCCGAATGGTTTACTGAACAGTCATAAACTGTCATTGTGATGGAAACGCAGCGGAGTGCAGTGATGACAGCGCGGTGCGGGCCACATTGCAAGGTCTGGCGGGACGGATTTGGCCCTCGGGCCTTGTGTTTGACACGTGGAGTAGGGGGGAGGGGGACTGAATTCTCTCTTGAGCCTTCTGCTAAAAGTTGCCCTTAGCTCAGTGTTTCCCAAAGTGTGGTATGCATACCCCCAGGGGTATGGGAAGAGTTTGGTGGGGATATGCACTGCACTGTGCTTAGCTGCACCTAATTCTACGTTCTCAGCGTTACGAAAATTATAAAAAGGGTACACATATGTCAAAAGTTTGGGAAACACTGCCTTAGCTCAGTACATTCTGCATACCACAAAGAAACATCTTGGGGTGACTCATTCTGGACCCCCACACTTGGAATTCTAAAAAACAAAAACAAATACAAAAAAACAGGAAAACAGTGCACAGGAATACAGTGACTGATTATGGTATACCCTACTACTGAATGCAGCTATTGCAAAGCTATTATACATGTACATATACATATATTGGGATGATAACTACTGTATATTGGTTTTAGAAGTTCTACATTTAGGAAATATTTACTGTGTGACTCATGTAGATCAAGCAGAAAAATAAAGAACCAGTGATATGTGTGGATATATTTGTGAAAATATAAGAAAAGTTTCTGAAAGCTACACACCAAAATGTTGACAGATATTTCTTCTAGAAAGTGGAATTTTAGGGACAGAGAGGAAGTGATGAAGGACTTTTGCTGTTTACTCTAAGTATTTCCAATAACTTGAGCTTTTTATAGTGTCCATGAATAACTTTTGTAAGTTTTTTTTTTTTTTTAAAGATGTGTTTGGGAAAATAAAATAAAATGAAAATGAAAATGCACTGGTGTTTTGGCAACACTTTGAACTCTAACGTGGTGATTCTCTATCTGCATGCTCATCATCTTATATAATGCATTTTTTCCAGTCAAGAAAGATCAAGATAGAAATACCGGGTAAAGACAAAACAAACTAAAAATCTTACAGCAACATTGAAAGAATAACAAGAAAATCTACATGAATCTTGTTTTTATTTTGCAGTGGGGGAAAAAAAAAGGTGTGAAAGAAGCTTGAAGAAAAAGGTAAAACATTTTACTTCATAAAATTGAGTTTCTAAGGGACAAAACACACCAAGAAATAAAAAGACAAGCTGGAAAAAAGTATTTGCAACACATGGCAAATTATTAATTTTCATAATAATATGAAAATTAAACCAAGAGCTCTTTGGGGGAAATAATATAGAATGTAATAGAAAATAGAAAAATAGGCCAACTACATGGACAAGCAGCTCTCTGAAGAGAAAAATAATATAAATATTATTTAATTAAACATATATGTATACCTACTCTGTTTTAGGCACTGTTCTAAATACATATGCAGCAGTAAAGGAAGAAAACAGATAATGATTCTTGCCTCCATGGAATTTTCATTCTAGTGGATTTGAAGAGTGTTTGCTTCACTAATCACATTTAAAATTATGTATAACTTGCACTTATTGGTAAAAATTATGATTATTAAAATGAATTGTGGCCCTGGCGGGTAGCTCAGTTGGTTAGAGCGTCATCGCCATATGTCAAGGTTGTGGGTTAGATCTCCAGTCAGGAAACATACAAGAATCCATAAAAGTGGAACAACATATCAAAGTTCCTCTCTCTTCCTATCTCTCTAAAAATAAAAAATGAAAACTTTAATCTCATTGTGGAGATACAGGTACTTTCCTGTGCCGTTGATCGGAGTATATATTGGTGCAGCATTTTTGGAGGATATTTTAGCAATTACAA